AATGGTGATTACTAATGAGTTAAATAAATAGGAAGCTTAGATGATTTGAAAAATTTAGCAATTACTATTGATTTATAAATATGAATAATTCGTATATAGATTATAGGTGCAATACGAATGTATGTCTATTATAGTCATCATGAAACTTTGGGGAGTTATTGAGTACACTTCCACGAAGGTTTCTGCAGGGATATTACATTTTGGCATATTTGAATCTAATCTGGGTTACACCAAAACACCTAGTTATTATTTACATAATGCTGTATTTTGTATTAATCGATAATTTTTTCTCGGGCAAAGACAGGTTATACAGCTATATCAAAAGCAATTGGCTGGCATGTTATACTCAATTTGTCGTAAATTGGATTAAGTAAAAACCACAAACTTGGTATGAATTTGAAACTTAAGAGTTAAAAATTATACACTTACGTACGCAGCTCATCGGGTCTGCAATCCATTGCAAATGGATTGCCTACCTGATAAATAATAATTTGCTGCTCGCATAAACACAGGTKAATCTCACGGACATTGCCGGGCGGGATGGATATAATAAAATATAATCGAACGTGGTCAGACTGACTCACTGACGTAGAGCCTAAACAACGATGGTTTGAGGCATGAGCCATGTAAATGTGCACTAAAAAAATATTTTCCAAAATTCGCATTTTGAAACAGTGCTTGAATAAGTATTTCATGATTCAACAATCAAGATAATATCTGATGAAAATATTTGAGTTTTGAAAATCATTACACTGAATATTAAATAGGGAATTGAAAAAATTGTGAATCATGTATAACTCTGTTCAAGTTAATAAACGTAGTACTGGTCGACCTCTTTGGGGTATGGAAATATTACACGACGTGTAAATAGATAATTGACGGAGTGGGATGATTAGCGAATGTCGCCTAACTGTGACTCGAAACGAAAACTGATCATTGTTAGCTACATTTCTTAGTTCGAACAGAGTAATGAATTGGCATTTTTAACGGGCAATGAAGTGCACGGGATCAGATAGAAGTGCAAATGTACTTCTTAAGTGTATATGGTTGAGGCTTATAGAATTAAAAAATACTCTAACGATATATTGACGTTTCGGTAATAGATCGAATCAGTTATTTTATAGAGTCGTTATGAATGATGTTAATATCATAACTGTATATTTGTTTATTTCTGTTTACATTGGGATAAGCGTACAAAAAAAAAAATTATACTTTATTACTATCCAATGTAGATGGATTACACACCTTGATTGTAGTTAACCCAGGGCAGAAAAGTTATAGATAATTATTTTTCATGGTCGATTTAATATATTATGTACACTACGTTATACATTGGTACCTACAATAGTAGTTCATTTAACCTTTTATTCTATAATATTTTTTTAGTTATATTACTATAAAATAATTCAATTGAAACATTATAAAAATGTTTACACGTAGGTGTCTACATGACTATAATATCTTAACGTATGCCTCTACCCTTACTCTATATTCGTATTTTACAAAACATTTTAATATCTTTATGGAAATCATTAAACCAATCGTAAAGCTTTACTCTCCTGGTCAAAAATGTGTATATTAAAAACTAACAACGTCGACGTTTGAAACTAATAATAAAATGCTATTACAATATTTGTGTGATGTTTCAGCGTCAATGTGCGTGTCTGTACCTAACATGGCATTTAAATTTTTTTTATGATAGTTAAATATGTGAAATGAGAATTTAAAGTTTAATTGAGCTTGGACACACACAAAGCGTAGTAAAACTGATTTTTACGGATACCATAATAATATATTAATATGTATAGTATAGGTATGCGTATGGTGTCACTATTATTACTATTAATGTCATTCTAATGCACTAATCGTGTTTCATTGCAAAAATAGGAATAATTATTAAACTTAAAATTAGTACAAATATATTATAATTAAATTTACTGACTATCGAGTCTGTTATCATAACTTTTAAGTTTTAAATGTCAAAATGTTAATTTTAAGTTGTAAAATAATTATTATTTTACAACACTAACCCTGATTTCTGAATGTATAATATATATATAGATGGCTAATGTATTTATATAATTTTAGATTCCAAGCTGAGAGATAATATTATACATATTGATGTGTATATCATCCAGTTTTGGGTCAAAATATAATTATATATAATAACTTTTATGTTGAATTGTGGCAAAAATTATTAAATAATTGGATAAAAATTACAAAAAATTACAAAAATTGTAATTCATTAAGGAAAGATAATATTGGGATTCGATATTTCCTTAAATACTTACATTTGATCCTAATTTTCGACTATTTATAGGGGTATGTGCAATTTTATATTTTTTATATTGATAAAATGTTTGCCTCTAAGCTGATAATGTAATAAAAGGTTTCTAATAAATGGTTGTCAAAACAGTTAAAAATTATCTCGAAACATGCTACTATTAATTATTAAGGTGATTATATTATTACAAGTATTAACGATCACATACAATTAAATTCTCGATAAACAAAAAAAAAATTTGAAATTATATACCTGAAATTTAAGCTATTTATACTAGGTACGTATTCATTCATATTATTATGCTATACGTTGGTATAGACTTATACGTTTATAACAATATTAATAAATGATATGTTATTGTTAAAATAATTATTAATAATGTAACATTTTATATGATATTTTTTGAAAACAATGAAAACCGACCACATTTAAAAACATTAACTGCTAATTTAATCATTAATATTAATATATACATTGAACATTATAAACATGACTTAGAAATTTAGAAATAGAGCCAGGTCTACCTAATCAGGCATATGTCGTAACTTACCATTATTTTTTGAATAAATGTACAATTATAGTGACCTACAACGGGCGAAAAGAAATAAAACTATACGTACGTGACACCCTTCCATCAATACCAGTTCCACTATGGCAGGTTGTCGCTAAAAAAAATAAAATGAATTGGAATTTTAATATTTTTAAATCTGGAAATCAACCTGTTAAAAAATATAGTAGGTTATGTTCGGCAGCAAAAAAACCATTAAGAATCCCGAAAATTATGGCCAAACTACATAAAATATATTAGCCATAGATTAAGAAGACCAAGTGTTTGAAAAACCGTATTACAAACATTAACCCAAAAGCCACACAAATACGATGAATGCTTTACCCTTTACAAAAGAAGCTACTATTACACGTCCGCATATTCTTAACAGCGTACATCATATTTGTTCTAACATATACGTCAGCGCAGACTGTAAATCTAACGTCAGAGGTTCACAATGGCATCGACTAGAATATTCGTCTAAACAATATTGTTCAGAACAATGGTACGCATGCCGATGTTGTTAAGAATCGAGGTTTTGCTCAGATAGACAAAAACCACCAAAATGATAAAATAACGTCAAAAATAATTAAATGCAATTTTTTATACGGATCAACAATAACTACTTCATAATATTCTATAAATAAGTCTTAATAAAATCGTTAAACACGAAATACAATCACCGGGGACTACTATTTTGGGCAAATTAAAACCAAGAATAATCTACAAAATAAGAATGAAATACCTAAAACCGATTTCAACAAGAATTTCCTTCTATATGCCTCCATTTTGATGTAGAAAATAGGCCAAACAAAACAAAGAAAAACAGTATAATATCCTTAACACCCGCAGTCGCCAGTCACGTTTTCTAATTTGATTTGTATGCACAGCTGCGTATTATTTAATAATATAATATAATAATAATATATTATATTATATAATATAAAACGAATCCCTTTCATAATCATAATATAATATNGCCCTAAGTACTGTAGCACTAGCCCTACAGTGGTGTCATAAATGATATAATTTATCGCAGGGATATTATAAAAAACTATGGTTCTATACTTAGTGAATCTAAATTTATTTCCTCAATATCTGTAAAATATTCTAGATAATATATATAAGAGTTATTTTAATAAACTTTTACTGCATATTTTGAATATTAAGCTATGTTTTACAAAAAAGAGGCGTATTTTTTTCTTGTAAGTTCTTATAATTTTTAAATGTTATAYCTTTTGACCCATTTTTTTAGATTCTGAGCGGAGCGATGAATGTATTTTATGTTAATTATTTCAAAGCTTTTTTTGGTTTTTTTTTTATGTTAAAACGCTTACCTATTTATATGTATTTTTTTAAACATTTTTAATGCAATAAGTCCCGAATACCTACCCTATGCGGCTATCGGTTATCGGTTATCCCGATCGCATAGTATTATTGTTTATTATAATTTTATAATTATTACGTGTTATCATGATATATATGTATACGTTATACGTATACGTATACGACTAGTGATTGATAAGATTTACTCGTGGAAATAGTAAAAATACATAGTGTAGAAATCCACTGTTGCCACTAAAGTCTTCACGCAGTTCTAATTTCCCAAGTGGTAAAAAATTGTTGGGTAGAGATTTCTATAGATATTGAATTTTTTCTCGGGAAGTGCAGCTCTAGACAGTCAATCATTGATACATTGCCATAAAAACTATCGACAAGTGAATAAAAATCACGAGAAGAATTATTACTACGAATAATATACATCATATTATTATTATTCTGTGTCGATATCGCTTCCCATATTTTCTAGATCGACCAGCTTTTCATTTTTTGTCCGTTATTTTTTTTTGTTTTATATTCATCTCATTATATTCACMATTTTCCCGCTTTCTGTAATCTGACGCTCATATGCGAATAGTATCCCGGTATTAAAACTTATATACCTCGGTATTATACGATTAGTGATCATGTTTTTTAACCGATATTATTGATGACCATGCGGATGAGTCGTTTATATCGTAAAACACGATTGATGTCGCGTCTCCGCAGCATGGCGGTCGGATTACGTTTATTATAAAAATAATAATTGGATTTTCGTTTTACCAAATAATTGTATTATAACAATTAAAATAAAAATGTCATATATATATTATGTACATGTRATTACAGCTATGYACCTTATGACCATCCTTGATATCTCAGATTATATCGGTGCAGTCTCGCATGTGGTGAGAAAGGTAAGTGAGCAAAAAGACATAATAATATTGTACCGTATTTAAAAAAAAAATGTTTTACAACGTGGCATCTATRCAAAGTTTGTTACCTATGTGTATTCATAATAATTGTTTATTAAATTCTGAAAATGTATATTACACAAAATATATAGGCTTTACTCGTGGAAAATTCTTTTAGAACTGTCTTGTCTAGGTCTTTTTAACAACTTTAAAGTATAATACTATAATCGCATGGTAAAGAATTGTATACTGCTATACACTACTATTTATGCTGTACGGCTCGTTAGTGTACCTACGGCTACCAACGTTCTAAAAAATGTTTAGTATTTTTTTGAAAAATTTGTGATGAATAAAAACCATATTTAATGACAAAAAAATTATAATGTTTCATTGTTAAAATACCCCGTCCCTTAAAATGTTGCACTTATAAAGTCGTTTTGTACGAAACTCGTAAATACTGTTTTTCTACTAAAGTTGCTTATAAGCGTGGACTTAATAATATTCTATGATATATTTATATATTATGCATGGGTTAAATCACATGTCTTTGTACTCATGGTTTTTAAGGATTGTAGATAAATATTTATTATTTTTAATTATATATGGATACAACAAAATATAAACTGAAAACATTTTCACAAGTTTAAATAGGAAATTTGTGAAATACTTATATAATTACTATAAAAAATTAATTTTTAGGATAGACGCTTACATAATGAATTTATCTGAATTTCTTAAATAAAACAATTTATTTATTGAATTTTGATCGTA